TGTACTCCAGCCGGTTGGATTTTATACAATATTCATGTTGACGTAGTCCACAAGACTTCCTCCCTCGTTTCGGAATTCATCCTTCCTCATCGGATGAGATCGAACAACGAATCTCTTCTTTGTGCAATTTCATACGAAATGAAGGTTCAGCTAACAATGTTATCTCAGGAGATTCATCGAAACCAAGTTTCTCTTCGTATCTATGACATGATTTTTGTTGTACATGACGCTAAAATTGTTTATCAAGCCATGGCAGAAGCACAAGAACAGGAATGCAGTCAAACCACCGCTCGCCAATATCACAAATTGACGATGATGCAAGTAGAGATGCCTCAAGGTGCAAAGATCTGGTGAGATTTGTCAGCAGGAAAACATCGTCCTTTTGTCCCTTCCGCCATGCGGAAATTGGTCTTCCAAGCCATTAATGATTTGGCACATCCAGGCCTACGTGCGTCCAGGAAACGAATCACAAGCCGATTTGTCTGGCCAGGAATGCAAACAGACATTGGCAAGTTAATTAAAGCCTGTCCATTTTGATAAGGAACAAGTTGCACAGGCACGGCAAAGCCCCTACTCGAGCCAGTCTCCGAGAGCTTCAACCACATTAACATGGACAATGTTGGTCCCCTTCGGCTTTCTAAGGAAAAGTGCTATCTCCTTACCATTATGGACCGTTTCACACGATTACCAGAAGCTATTCAAATGCCATACATGCAGGCAGAGACAGTTGCGAGAACCTTAGTCTGTTTGGTAGAACGCTTACACCGTCAGCTAAAGGCCTGTCTGGAATGCTATAGGACTTCTGACAAGTGGGCAGATAATTTGCCTTTAGTATTAGTGGGCTTGCGAACAATTGTCAAGATGGAAATAGATTGCGGTCCTGAAGAAATGGTTTACGTACACAAGTTAGAATTGCTAAACTAACATTTGAGTACTATCTGCTGATTATGTTAGAAATTTGCCGAATACGATGGAGAAACTACGCAGCATACACTCTAGGCCAGCTACGTGCAAGTCAGAAGTGCCTAAAGACATGACTTGCAAATACGTCTACGTCAGATTCGACCGAGTATTGCCACCACTATCAACACCATATATTGAAGTGGTATGTACAGACTAAGGCATACAAAAATTAAAGGTCGGAAGACATCAAAATAACAAAGAGGACACTGAACAAACCAACATTGAGGAGAAAAAGAACACAGTCCAGACATCCTATACAGCTGAGAAAAAGGATCCATTTTCCATCGAAAACCTGAGTTGATTCTAATTTACCATATTTTTTTTAATATTTCCAATCTATCCCGTTCGGATTAGCCTCTGCGTGAGACAATTGCAGTGGCACTGGGGTACCTTTCATTTTGTTTGAGAAGACGGTTCGAAGGGATTTCAAGATTGGCCACACTGGATATCGCAGGAGGGCCACGGTGGACTTTTGTCAGTCGAATTGTGCAAATAGTATTGTAGAAAAACTACAATCAGATTGGCAACATTTAACGGTTATCTCAACTCCTGCAATATCAGGCGAAGCATGACTCATCGGCGCTATGGAATGTGGAAACTGAGCGAACCTAGTGACGGAAATGAGCCTCTCAGTTGAAACAATCAGAACGTGGCATTAAAAGTACACAAGAGAATATTAAGTCATGCTTTCTCTTAAAAAAGATAGGCGAATTGGTGAAGAAGTGGGGCATAAAAACAGTGATATGAGATCTATTCAGCCTATTTCGTCCAAGGTGATGAAGGAATGGTAGAAGAAGAATTTTCCCACAATCATATGAGTTGAGCGTACGTTTCCATTGCCTTGCTTTCCCAAAAGTTGTTCTCATCCAGCCACCAGTGGACTGCAGTTTCGACCTTGCATCGGTCTTATCAACACCCTGAGCTTGACTGATTACTTATTTACTGGTAGTCTCGAAACTCTACTCTAATGCGAAAATAAGTAACGTAGTCGATTGCTATAACAATTCTCTATTATGCCATCTTTTAGAGAGAAATATGACCCATTCTCGAGATCCGGCTCCTACAAGATTGTTTGCTCATGTAGTCGATGTTATGTTGGTAGAACACAAAAATGCCTGCAGAGGTAGCTGGATCGAACAGTCAGAAGTGGCCGAACACATGGTAGAAACTGAACATAAAATAAAA